TACAATTTCTCCAAACCAGTAAGAAACTTTTTAACCACCTGGTTAGAAAAAAGAGAGGTTCCTGCCGTACCAACATGGAAGGCGGAGAGAGATGCCACGTGGACTTTAATAGAGGAAAAGGACAGGCCAGAAGAACGGAGTTGAAAGAGATAGTCAAGAATAGTTGGAATAGGGGCCGAGGACGGTTGTACTCCTCTCTGGGACACCCAAGACGAGAAGCACCTCCACTTGGCAGCGTACGACCGTCTAGTAGAGGGCTTCCTGATGCTAAGGAGCACCATCTGTACCTGTCGGGAACATTCCCTTTCTGGTTGGTTCAACCACGGATAAACCAGGCCGTTAGATGAAGAGATCGGAGATCCGGGTGAACCATTACCCCCCCGTCCCAAGGTTGGGTTAGCAGATCCCGAACTGGAGGGAGTGCTATAAGGTCTTGTGTCAGCATGTCCACCAGGATGGGGAACCAGAACTGCCTGGGCCACCTGGGGGCTATGAATCGAGGACCTGAAAGTTCTCGCTCTGGTCAATACCCTGGAAATTAGTGGAAATGGGGGAAAAGCATAGAGAATGCCCTTTGGCCACACGGTTGTCAGGGCATCCCCCAGGGAATATTTCCCCAGCCCCAGCAGGGAACAGTAGTTCCTGCACTTGGCATTGCGTGCCGAGGCAAACAGGTCTAGGTGGGGATATCCCCACCTGCGGAAAACCTGGCTAAGGACAGAGTCCTTGAGCGACCACTCGTGGGCTCCAAAGGATCTGCTCAGTGTGTCTGCAAGTAGGTTTTTGCACCCGGGAAGGTACTCCGCCTGAGGCGTGATATTGTGGGTGACGCACAGATGCCATAGACGCAGGGCCTCCTTGCATAGGGGTGGCGAACGCGCCTCACCCTGCTTGTTAAGGTAGAAAACCGCTGCAGTGTTGTCCATACGTACCAGAATGGAGCGGTGGGAGAGCCTCGGCAGGGATGCTTCGGGATATCCCCACCTGCGGAAAACCTGGCTAAGGACAGAGTCCTTGAGCGACCACTCGTGGGCTCCAAAGGATCTGCTCAGTGTGTCTGCAAGTAGGTTTTTGCACCCGGGTAGGTACTCTGCCTGAGGTGTGATATTGTGCATGACACACAGATGCCATAGATGCAGGGCCTCCTTGCATAGGGGTGGCGAACGCGTCCCACCCTGCTTGTTGAGGTAGAAAACCGCTGCAGTGTTGTCCATACGTACCAGGATGGAGCGGTGGGAGAGCCTCCACAGGAATGCTTCGCAGGCCCTCCTCACCGCCCGCAGTTCCCGGACGTTGATGTGCAGGGACCATTCGGAAGGGGACCAGAGGCCCTGGGTTCTGTGGCACCCAAGGTGTGCACCCCATCCCAGGTCGGGATGACGACGACAACTCCTGAATCAACAGGGGAGTGGTCATGACCAACTGCGGAGCCGGTTGGACAGTCTGAGCTTCCCGAGGGCCTGTCTCCGGTACCGGTGGCTGTGGTGCCGCAGGATCTTGTTGCGGCATTCGAAGGGGAGAGGGGGGTGCCCTAGACAGGGACACAGAGGGGTGGGAACGGTGTCCCGAAGCCTCCGACCCCATAGATAGTGGTGGTTGTCCCTGCCACTGATGATAGGCTCAGGGATTCCAAAAGGGCCACTGCGGATGAGGGGGCCACATCTGCTGGTTGTGGCCCCTCCGTTGCCTGGATCTGGACCTGTGGGTCGAGGAAGCTCCCGAAGACCCTGACCACACCGACACCGCGTCCGAATCCGAGGAGTAATTGGACTCAGACCAAGGGGGGGCCGATGAGGATTGCGGCGCAAACTTGGCCATTGACTCCGGCTTGCCTGCGTGGGCGCAGCGAGGACATACCATCTGTGGTACCAGGGGACCCATGCCCGGTGCCGTAAGGGCCGCTGATAACTGCGGCACCGGGAGGCCCAGACCCAGTGCAGCGAACTCCGCTGAAGCAGTCAACTGTGGCGCCGGGGTGCGTAGGCCCGGTGCCGGCTGCCAAGTCAGAAACTGCGGTACCAGGGTACCCAAGCCCAGTGCCGTTTGCGACATAATTTGCAGCACCGAGGTGCTCAGGCTCAGTGCTGGCTGCACCGTTTGTGGCACCGGGGTGCGTAGGCCCGGTGCCGAGTGCATCGCCAGTATCTGCGGCACCGAGGTGCTCAGGCTCGGTGTCGGTTGCGATGCCTGGAGTTGCGGCACCGGGGTGCCTAGGCCTGGTGCCGGGTGCGTCGCATGCAGCTGCGGCACCGGGGTGCCAGGCCCGGTGTCGGTTGCGCTGACTGAAGCTGCGGCACCGGGGTGCTCAGGCCCTGTGCCGATTGCATGGCCAGCAGGTATGGCACCGAGGTGCCCAGGCTCAATGCCGACTGAGTCGTGCCCAATTGAGACGGTACCGGGGTGCCCAGGCCTGGTACCGGGGTAGTCCACTGGGTCGATGCCGGTGCCGATGATGGCATGGAGACTGACGCCAACTCTTGGAAAGCCACATGGCCATGGGGGTATGGCACCTGTACAGCCAAGCGGGGCTTTGGCAACTTGGAGAGCAACGACCTGCCATGGCTCGACGCTCCCTGAGAATGACGGTTCGGTGTCGTGAAGGGTGCCGTAGTAGTAGCGGGAGCCGACCCCACCGGGGTTGGTCCCGACGCATAAGCCCCTGTAGCTTGCCGACCCTGGCCATGCACGGGCGATGGCGGTGCCCTCCGAGCTTGCACCGGGGGCGACCTCCACCCATCCGAGTCAACTGACGACGGCGGGGAGGTTATAAGAGTTATTAGGTCCTGCGCCGCTTCAAAGGTGTCCGGTGTAGACGGGCGATGAGAGGGCAGACGACCAGGGCTCACTAGACCCCCTCGGTGCCAACGGTGCACCAGAGGGGAGACACGCACTGGTGAACTGCCGGTGCAGTGTCCAGCCGACGTCGACTTCTTAGACAGAGACCTGCCCCGGGACTTCTTCACCTTCTTAGATGGTGGAGAGTGAGACCGGTGCCGGGATCTTGACGTCGATGCCCGGTGCCAGTGTGTGGCCTCGCGCGTGGAGGCCGATGCGCTGTGCACCGCAGGCTGGTCCGGCGGTGCCGGTTGAAGTGCCGTCTCCATGAGGAGAAGCTTCAAGCGGGAAACTCTTTCTTTCCTCGTACGAGGCTTGAAAGACTTGCAGATTTTGCAGGCAATTGTCAAATGGGCCTCACCCAGACACTTAAGGCAGCTGTCGTGTGGGTCGCCCCTGGGCATAAACTTCCCGCAGTCAGCGTACGCCTTGAAGCCTTGCGGCTCTGGCATTCCTTACCCCCAAGGGGGGAAGGAACGAAAAACAAAAAACCTAACTATCTAACCACACAACTATTTACAATGTGAGAAACGGGAACCATTAACTATCTAAGCCTAACAGCTATAGAGAGAGAGAGAGACGCTCCAACGACCGACACGGCGGTAAGAAGGAACTGAGGTGGGGCAGCGCCGGCAGGGGTACTTATGCCCCCCATGGTGGCGCCACTCTAGGGGGCGCCCCGCCGGCACTACGGGTACCGCTAGGGAAAACCCTCCGGAAGACGTGGTGCACGTGGCGCGCACACCTACTTCGAATGGACATGAGCAACCACTCGAAGAAGAACACTTCTATAAAAGCAGCAGTCAGTGCATTACATTGTATGTAGCTACAGAACAAACTTTTTAAAAACTTTAGAGTCCAATATTGTCTTAAAGTTAATACAAGTCCTAACTTGTAATGAAAGAAAAGCTGTGGCTCAAGCTTCCCCCACCCCTTAAGGTTCATAACTGATGCAGCAAGCTCAGAGTTTCCAGGGCTATAAACTGCCAAGCCTAGAAATGTCATGGCTCAGCACTGGCACAAATTAAGTATGGCTTAAAAGTGGCGTAGAATTAGGCTGTTGGATTAAATCTCTGAACTCCAAATACAACTGTTAATTGCATCATTTTGCTGCCCACAATAATTATTTTTTCACATTTGTTTAAAATCAGTGTTACTTGTTTTTAATGGTTCCACACAACAGATTAAAGATTAGTAACATTATTTTATGTGATACTACCAGCTTTTATTTTTGTTAAATCAAATTTCTAGTCCTCAAAATTGCAGAGGAAATATGCATGCTGCAGACTCAGAAACCGGAAGACAATTTTTTCCCCTTTTTGATTGTGATTTTTAAACCCCTTATGATTATGGGGACTGACTCCTGATTTTTGAAAGTTTGGGATTAGCAGGAGAGTTGTTTTTACATTTCACATTTAGGTCCATGGTCATAGCCTTGTTAGCTGTGGGCACACCCCTGTGTTAGCCTGGAGTCCTGTTAAAGTCAGTGGGGCTCCACAACATGCACTTGCAATGTTGCAAGACTTTAAATGCTTGATAAAGATCTGGACTTTGCCTAGAAAAGCTCTCACACCTCTGGAGCTATATTAATGTACCATGTAATCATGACAACAAGTAGTCCTGGGGTACCTTTAGGCTACCTCTAAACTACAGCCCTCTGTCAGCAGAGAGATGTAAATTAGACATATCAAAAGTGCAAATGAAGCACTTTGAGGAGTACAGGATCTTTCAAAACAGGGCATTTCTATCGAAAATGCCCCGTCTAAACTGCTGTTGTTTTTTTTTTTTTTTGAAAAGCCGCGTTTCGAAAAAAGCAGCAGCTGCCATTATGCAAATGAAGCACGGGATATTTAATTCCCGACTTTATTTGCACTTTCAATACGTCTAACTTACATCTCTCTGCGGACAGAGGGCTGTAGTTTAGACATAGCCCTAGAGACTAACAAAAATATACATAGTATCATGAGCTTTGGTGGGCAAAACCCATTTAATCAGATGAGCTGCAGCTTCCAGCTCATCATCTAGCCAAGTGAGTTTTACCCACAGGACTACTGGTTGTTTTTAAAGTTACAGACTCACATGTTTATCCCTCAGACATAATAATGGCTTATACAGTACAATAGAATAAGCATTTTACAGATTGTAAACTCTTTATCATCTTCTAGGTTATCAGTGAGAAATGAACTTGCTGTGACTCAAAGAGGACATGAAGGTGCAGAATATACTCATCTTTCTGTTTCATTTGTATGTTGTGGTTTCAGGTGAGTTTTAGTTGTGTGTTCATGGAAATGATCAAGAAATTAAAATCTAGCTTTTTTTCCCCTCCTCAAGAGCTGAATTACTTAAAAGTGATATGATCAAGATAAAAATCATGGTAAAATCAACTTACCGGTAAGTTGAATTGATATAAAGCCCTCAAAAAAAAAAATAAGTCTGTCCACATAAATAGATTGCATTGCAACAAATGAGAAAACAAACTTGGCCATGATCTTTTCTGCTTTTGTATATGAAGACAACATGAAGCACAAAAAAGCAATAGTCTTAATAACAACAGGGTTTCTTGGGTAGGACTTAGTGTGCTGGAATTTTCTGTCCAAAAGCAGCAGGCCCTCCCACTTGAGAATCTTCATGATCTCTTAGCAGATATATTCTGTTCTATAGGCCCTGGGAGTACATGAGGATAACACACCCTTGAGCAGGGATGACAGTAGCAGTTTTCAGTACAAGTGGTTAACACTCAATCACCCTAGTTAAAGGCAAAGTTGGTTCCAATTTCAAACACATCAATCAGGCACCAATTTAATGATTCTGTGGTTATACTGGCAGCTTCAATTATCCAATGTTGCTCCAAAGTTTATTAGGGTCTCAAACCAACAAACTCCCCACTCTCTGAGAGAGAGGTGAACCTTCAGCAATTTTATGTTTAGCTTATAAATGTTAGAACTGTATGGTTAATTAGCTAATTTAGGTACAGCGAACTGGAGCAGAATAGCACCACGTAAATCCTAATCACTGCTTTGGGCACTGGAAGGCTGCAGTCTAGAATGTCAGTGGCACAGAGTCAAGTATATGTGAACATGAGTGTCATGCATTAGAATACTGGTATACTGGAGGAAGGCATATGTAACGGTTATTCCATCCTCCCTGTTTCATGGATGCATGAGGGTGACATGGAACTCTACAAATGGGTATATGTTTGTAAACAAATTAATGGTGGGAGCTGTGCATGTATTAGGGCCAAAAGATCAATTCAGCTGGACCGTGTTTGTAATTTTATTAGAAGGGGAGGAAGGAATTGCCCGGATATTACTAATTTATGTTCATTAGCCCATTTTGGAAATGTTCAGGCACTTTATAGTATGTGCATTGTGTTTTCAAGGTCTTGAAGTAGTAACTGGGATGTTTTCCGAAGATTGTATCCTACCGTGTTCTTTTGCACGTGCGGACGGTGAGGTAATTTACTGGAAGAAAGGAGACAAAAATGTGCACAGCTACTACTACAAGAAGGATCAGCTACACAGCCAAGACTTTGCGTACAAGGGGAGAACGTCCCTTTTCCATGACCAAATTCCCAGTGGAAATGCCTCCTTGAAACTGAGTAACCTGAGCCTGAGTGATGAGGGCTCCTACAGCTGCTATGTGGGGACAAATCAAGACAAAACAGAAGTGGAAGTCAGGCTGCTTGTAACAGGTCAGGCAGATATTTTAGATACATAAACTGTGCAGATAGCAGATCTTATGCTCTTACCTGCCACTTGAACTTGTAATACCTCACGCTGGAAAAACTACTGGTCTATCGGCACTAAGGGCAGCTCTGTACTTTACTGTTGCATTTCAGCTATAGAAAAAAAAAATAACTTAGTGTGACCAGCGTACCCATAGCCCTGGGCCCTTTTCACTGCTGAAACACTGCATGGCACGTTCAAGGCAGCACTAAGGAAAGGGGGATGCCACAGTCTGGGCAACACTGAGGACTGGCTGCTCTGGCCTTGCTTCTTCTGCTCCAGGCTCCATCCTTTCTGAGAGCATGGAGTCGATGCCCCCCACGTTGTCCATCAGGGATGTTGGCTCCCTTGACTGTAACCCTTTGTGGATCATAACTGAGAATATCAAATTTATGTCACACTGCAGAGAAACAGGGCAAATCTATCCCAAAATGCTGGTAGTTATTACCATAGGATTTACCAAGCCTGCCATAAAAATAACTTCCGTCTTGCCACACTGCCTAACAGGAAGTCATAAAAGCAGTTTCCGAGGCATTCAGGTCTAATACTACCATCAGAAACACTGGTTTCAGAGATGAACGGTTCTTTACAACCAATCTCATCAAATTATAGGTTTTTCTGATCCCAAAGGTTCAGCCACACACCAGTGTTTCCTCTAAGATTTTCCATCCATGAGTGGAGTGAGTTTTGTCTTGTGCACCAATATTGATGGCGTGTGTTCTTGATTGTGTGTGTCACTGTAGCACCTACTAGTTACTAACAAAATTACACACACACACACACACACACACTCACTTTAAAATTGTTATGTAACAAGAAATACTAAAACAAGAGATAATTAACAAGGTGCATGACCCTGCACCCACCCACCCTGATAACCACTTAGCTTGCTGGCCCCACCCCCGAACATACACTGTGCCCCCATCAGGACCACACACAACCAGCGGGTACCAGTATAGGCCTGGCTAACTGCCTACCCTTACACACATCCTTTAGTTGTGCCCATCCTTGCAATCTGCTTCCCCATATGCCACCAGTATATAAGCCAGGGCTATGCTATCTGCCCCCCAAACACAAACAGCCAGTACCTGGGCTTAGGGCCCACAGCCCAAGCACCACTCCCCAGAGACCTGTGCCTCCTCTCCCATTTCCCAGAGAACTGTGTCCAATCCCGCACCTTGCCCTCCCCGGAATTTACCTGTGCCCTGTACCTCCCACCACCACAGCTGGCTGCTGCCTTTGCCCCCGACCTGGCCAGCTTCTGTGCCAGGTCACCGCTATTAGCCCCTATGGTATGACCCCGGTACCTCCTTTGCCGTTCTCCCGCCCAGGCTCCAATGTGGCTTGTGGCTCCTCCGGCCCCCACTGCAGCCTCCCACTTCATGGCTCGCAGCTCCTCTGGCCCCGGCTGCTGGCGCAGCTTCCCACTTCATAGCTCCTCCAGCCCCAGCTGCTGCCTCCTACTGCCTGCCATGTAGCTGCGTGGCTCTGCGTAGGAGGTATACAGGGTGGAAATTTTTTCTGCATGCTTAGAGAGAACCCTTTCACACACCCAGAATCATAGAATCCTAGGGCTGGAAGAGACTTCTTGAGGTCATCGAGTCCAGGCCGCTGCCCCAAGCGGGACAAACCCTAACTAAATCATCCCAGCCAGGACTTCGTGAAGCCAGGACTTAAAAACCTCTAAGGATGGAGATTCTACCATCTCCCTAGGTCAATATACAATTCAGGCCCTACCCAAAAATCATGTTGTAGCCAATCTTTTAGTATCTAAAATATAAAGGTTTATTTATAAAAAGAAAGACAAATAAGTGAATTGAAATTGGTTAGAGGAATCTGTTGTGCCATCAGATTCATAGAGTTCTTGAGCTTTATAGATACAGATAGATCTTTCAGCATCAGTCCAGAGGTATTAAGTCAATGTCCAATATAGGGGCACCAGAATAGCCTGGGATCTCATTCTTTATTGTTTTCCACATGAGCATTCAAGCAGATATGAGATGAAAAAGGATCATGTCCAAAGGGCCTTTATATTTAACTTCCTGAGAGAACAGACTTTTGACATAACCTTCTGTCTTACAAACATGGTGATGATTAGCATAGGGTAATTTATCCATTAAACAGTTCACATACAGTTTACCATAGTCTTCAGCGAGACACATAGACAATAATATTATTTCAATCACATTTCATCACAAATGTTAATATTGCTTTTCAATCTTGAATCAAGGCTATAGTAACAGACAAGACTTGACTGTTCACATCTCAAGACCTGAGTAAACACGTACATTCTAATGCTCTAACTATGCAGGTTTGCATTTCAAAGTTCTACTCTAACCTAATGTAATAGCCCAATTGTTTTTTCTTATCTTCCCAACAGCTCTTCAGAGTTCGACCCTAGGTCATTCAGCCCTAGGCGCTGGTTAAAACTTTCAGGTCCTGTGCCATATCTTAATCAGACATCTAACAATTCAGATACAATTACACCTAGTTATAGCAAAGGATGGAAAGCTATGGTCTGCTCATTTGAGGTTAAAATCACTGCAGGAGAGTGAGTGAACTGAAATAGCAAGTGGGGAGGATGGATTCTGAGACAAGCTTGGAGACTGGTGATTGACAGTGGGGCAAATGAAATAAACTGTAGTCTGAAATAAACACAAATTATTGGTTTTGACTTCTGCTTTGGTGTTGTGCAGATTCTTTCCTATACAATTCCCAAAAGCCAATCACATCAAGTTAAAATGAATGATGAAAGAACCAGACTTTTTCTGTCTTTACAGTTTCTCCATCTTATGCAATGGAATATGAAAAGCGAGACACAGAGAGATTGTTGAAATGTCTTGCCTTTTATATCTATCCTGAACCAAACATAACATGGGCATACAACAATACATCTATGCAAAGAACCAAAACGGACGTAACCTGGGATGGCCCTCCCTATTTCGTTAGAAGTGAGCAGAACATTGTAAATGTAAATTCTTCTTACCAGTGTCACATTCAACTTTTCGACCAAAACTGGACTGCTGAATGGAGAATGGAAGGTAGGATTGAACTATTCTTCATCCCCATATACGAAGTCCAGGACAAGTGAGCCATAATGAGTGCAATGTGTCTACGTTGTGCTGGATTGGCAGAGAGAATAGTTAAGGTCACATCTCCTTCTGTAGAACTCAACTAATTATAAAACCAGCATTACTAGTGAGGTTGAGATGAACAAAAACTTCTCAACATTCACCCCCTATTTCAGAACCATACAATGTATTTATTCTGTGTGTGGTAACTTCATGCTTAGGTTTTGACCAGGGGGCTTTTGCACCTTCCAAGTTGTGCAATGAATTCAGAACTATTTCAAGCTCAGAACGGACCCTGGCTGGAGTTTGTAACACAAGCATAATGTGAGTTGAAGTGTCAATGCAAACCTATCATGAAATATCACCCACTAGTAAGACTTGCCTGTAGCCAACTTTAAATGACTGTAGTTTGGCTGGTGTTCATTTTGTATGCAGAGGACAGCTAACCTTGTTTAGTACACTTATTCATTGTATATTACATAGCATTCAGTCTGGATTTGGGACCTTGTTGTACATAATAAGATCACATAGAGATGCTTCCTGCCACGAAGCACTTACAATGTAAATATTGTTCACGTGTCAGGCCTAGACAGACAATGTAAGATTGTCCTATTATTTATTATTGCTTTAAAAAATTCCCAATCTATCCACCTCTTCTTTCTCTCCCATTGTTCAAGTGACCCAGCCTGAGGAAGTGGGTCTGGCCCACGAAAGCTCATCACCTAATAAACTATCTTGTTAGTCTTTAAAGTGCTACATAGTCCTGTTTTTTGTTTCAGCTACACCAGACTAACACGGCTACATTTCTATCACTGTGACCCAGCCAGGCATTCCCTTTGGCTGACCTAAGGCGTTCTCCTTTCACTCTGCCTGCTTTGCACAAGTAGGAGAAGTGAGATGGGGGAAGTAGTAGCATCTATTGTTCTAGTTACCAGTCTGTCCCTAGCTCACTCCCATCCCTATTGTTTATCCAAGTCTATTCACTACCATTTGCCTCCCTGTCTTCTTTCCATCCCTCCCTTCCCTCATATCTTATCTGCTCTTCTCCCCAAACCCAAAGGGCCAGAGATGAGTGGGGAAAGGAGGAGCAGACAAATAGAGTGTCTAGATTTAAATAACAAAGTACACTTGGGCAGAAAACACATGGAAGTGAAGCCTATGGTCTATTTCAGTGGTTCCCAACCGCTGGTGTGCGGACCGATGCCAGGCCGCGAACTGCTCGCTGCCAGGTTGTGGCACACTGCCTGGCCACGCCCCCATGGCTTGATAATTAGCTTGGTGATGTTCCCTGTAAACTGCGTGGCAGCATGGCCATACAGCTGCTAAGAGAGCCCCACCTGCAGAGAGCTTACTGGTGGGGGAAGGGCACTTTCTCAGCAGCAGAAGCTCCCTGCTCTGACTCTAGACAAGA